GAAGTTGGATGAGTGAATGGAAGGTAATAGAGCTTCCAGCTCTCAGCCCTGAGCACACTAGTACAATAATCCATAAGTAGAAGCTTATGGAGAATCTAGAAAGATTCAGAGAAGAACCAGGAGAGATTACTAAAGTAATCAGAAAATAGATATCTGTGAAACAAGAGTTCTGGACTGTTCTTCATGGAATAAAATAGCCCAAGAAAAAACTTCATCATGTTCCAAAAAGTTATCAAAGTCTAATAACAGTAGTTCAAATATGATTACTCATTCTACCACTAAGCTTTGTTTGTTGGCTATTGAAGGGGTTTGGGAGATATAACTAGGATTTCTAATAAGAAGTAATGCTACTGGTAATTTTTTAAAATGTGCAGCTTATGTAAGATTTGCTACAAGGAGGATCATGATGCATAAATCTCAGATATACATCATGACCTTCATGACCTGTGGATCTTTGGAAATGCCAGGAATGGACATACTTATCTTTTTTAAAAAATTAATTTTAGAAAAAAAAACTTTTCAGATGAAGAAATGAAATCTGCAATAGGAATTCACTCTTTTGTTGCTATGTAATGATTATTTTTTCTCCTTGTTTCTACTGTGTGCCGTAAATAGTACAAAAGTTAGGCATAATGAACTAGGGTAGAATTTCTGTGTGATGTTCTTCTCACTAGCAGTTCTCTCTCTGGCATGAGAGATGGAGGGGGGTGGTGGGGAATGAAGAGAGTGCTGATATTTTGGTTGATTTAAAGTTTGGAGGTTTAGATCTTAGTCCCAGAAGATGTCTTTTTTAAGATCATGGTCAGGGTGTTAACCGTGTGAATGACAGTTAAACATATAAGACAAAGATGTCCAACTAATTAAGGATTTTTTTTTAAAATTTCTGGTGTATGTAACCTCTTTGGAGCTTCCCTCGTGGCTCAGTGGTAAAGAATCCACCTGTCAGTGTAAGAGACCCGGCTTAGATCTCTTTGGGAAGATCCCCTGGAGAAGGAAATGGCAACTTACTCCAGTCTTCTTACCTGGGAAATCCCATGGACAGAGGAGCCTGGCAGGCTACAGTCCCTGGGGCTGCAAAAGTCGGGCACAACTTAATGACTGAACAACAACTTCTTTAAGCATAGAGCCCGGTAATATTGCTTTAGTTTATATCACAAGTAAAATGTATGTGAATAAGCTCTATAACTGGAAGTATCATAATATAACTGGGAAATAATTGGGATGGAAATCAGGGCATCTGAGTTCCTCTCCCAGATCTGGAACAAACAACGTAATCCTGAGACAGATCAGTGGGCCCCAGGCTGAACGGTTTCTCCCCTGTGGACAGAAACTCCATAAAAGTAGGTTGATAGAGGAGGCTGGGCCCTGCGCAGATAAGAGATAAAAGACCACATATTCCTCATTCTCGAGATCAAGGAGACCTTCCTGACAACATGTGCACAGAAAGGCTCCTTGGAGGTCTAAAGAGGGGGGCTGTCACCTCACGGTAAGTGATGTCAGCCTACTCAGAGACAGACCTCTGCTAGAATCCATCTGGGCTAAGAGGTGAGCATGCACACATGGCGGGTACCCTGAGAAATATCAGATATGGACTCAGAACCAGGCAAAGCAAGATGATTGGCTACAGGAAACCCAGAAGAAATGCCCCATAAAAATGGTTCAAACTACCACGAGGACACGACTCTCTGGGCCCACCTGTGTGTCTAGCCACATGTACTGTCTTCCTCCTAATAAACACTACACTCGTTTCACTGCTTTCCATCTCTATGTGGAAATGCCTTTCCACACAGCTGACCGCCCAGGGCCTTGTCACTGGCCACTGGTCCCTGGTGGTCTTGTGGCCAGGATTCAGTGCCCTCAATACCACAGCCAGATCTGAGTCTCTGGCCGGGAACTGAAACCCTGCTTCAAGCTGCTGCAGGCCAAGGGCACCTGAGATGAACTCGAGTAAGTGTAAAATTGAATTCATCTAAAAGTATAATGGATATAAGTCCTATGTATTTGAACATTAGGTGATATAGGGTTTTATTTAAATCTAAGCACTAGAACATAATGGTTAAAAATTGGGGCTTCGGAATCAAATATAATAAACTGAGTTTGCTTCCTGACTCTAACATATACTAAATGTGTGACACTGGGAAAGTTGCTTAATCTCTCCAAGCTTCAGGAAATGGGAATAATGAGTGTATAATAAAATGAGCCTGGCTTCCCTGATGGTTCAGTGGTAAAAGAATCCACCTGCCAAGGCAGGAGACGTGGGTTCAATCCCTGCGTCAGGAAGATCCCCTGGAGAAGGATGTGGCAACCCACTTCAGTATTCTTGCCTGGGAAATCCCATGGACAGAGGAGCTTGGCGGGCAGCAGTCACTGGGGATCACACAGAGTTGGACACGACTAAGTGACTCAACAGCAATGAAATAACCCACTGCGGTGCAAACAGTTGGTTTGAGACTAAAGTTAGATGCTGGATATAAAGTTTTAAATTCAGGGCCTGAATCTTTGTTGACCATCTTAATCCTTAAGATCATATGTATTAAAAAATTCTGTACTAATCTGACTGCTGATGCTGATTTGTGGGCAAATGATTTTGCATGAAACAATCCCCAAGAATGCTGAATAGCAAATAGTCTCACATGACAGAGGTTACTTGATTTTGCTTTCACAAGGAAAAAGCAATTACAATGAGAAAATGGGTTATTTATATGCTGAAGAATGTTTTTTGCATTATGATTGCTAAACACTGAGAATGGTTTATTTAAATCCAAAGCTAACTTTTCAGGCATTCAGCTTTTGCTCCTGTAGGAGTCTTTTTTTCCATTGTCTATAGTTTTAAAAGATTTCAAACCTTATGTCTGAATTGATAAAATAAGAGGGCTATATAGGCAAGGGAACGCCTTAGTAAATTAGCTGTGCTAGATTGCGAAGCTAGTCACACGCACACCTAATTTGCTTATGGTGCCAAAATTAATATTTCTGTTACAACCAGAAATTAAATTTCTGTTACAACACTTACTTCAGGTAAAAGTAAAATCAGTTGTATCAACCACTAGCCAGAGAGAAGCCTAAATAATTAATTTTACTCATATATTTCAGCTGATATTCGCTCATAATTTTAAATAAGAGTTTAAAGTAGTAGGTCCCTGATGTGTGAAATAGATAGCTAGTGGCAAGCTGCTACATAGCATAGGGCTCAGCTTAGTGCTCTGTGATGCCCTAGAGGGATGGGGAGGGCTGGAGAGAGGCTCAAAAAGGAGGGGATATATGTGTACATATGGCTAATTCACAGAAGAATCCAATGTAACACTGTAATGCAATTATACCCCAATAATAAAATCCATCCCTGGCAACAACTAGAAGTATGTGGAGTATATTGCTGTAAATATTTCTTTCAAATTACAGAAGAGTGATAACATTTTTCCAGCAAGTGTGGACTAAAACTTCTTTATACAGGCATTAGGCTGTTTTTGTTGTTCTGTCGCTGAGTCGTGTGCTGCTCTTTGCAACCCCAATGGATTGAAGCACGCCAGGGTTTTGTATCATCACTATAAGAAAGGCTAAAAGAAAACTTGTAACAGGCTAATATCACTCTTAAAATGTTTAGGGGGTGGAATATAAGGAATGAAGTGGAGAGAAATTAGTATCAACTCTACTCTTAAGTACATACAGATCATTTACTTAACATAGTTTTAATCACCTATGTAAGACACCATGTTTGGTTTAGGTCATATTATAGAGAACAAGATAGAAGCAGTCCCTCCTGTCGTGGAGTTTAAGTGAAAGCAGGAGAGACATATGAAACAATGAAATCCTTAATCATTAGTTTAATTGGAATCGTGACATGCTGGGAAAGAGTACGGAAAATTCGTAGAATAAAATCACAGAGACTCTCTTGGTTTGGGAGGATCAGAGAAAGGCTTTAAATGAAGGTCCATTGAGCAGAACTCTGAGGCATGAACTGGAATTAACCAATAAAGGTGAGGCAGGAGAGTGCAGAGTGGGGTATGTTTCAAGCAGAAAAATCTTTTGCTCGGAGACCCAGAGAAAACCAGTATAACTGGAATCTGCTATGCTAGAGGGGTAAGCAACATCTATAAGAAGAGTTTGGTCTTTATTCTAATAGCTCTGGCAGATCATGGGAAAGATTTAAACAGAAGTGAATTGGTTGCGTTTGTATTTTGAAAATTAAATTATAAAATTTTAGCTCATTCTGACTGCAACAAGGAGAGTGGTTTGGAGGAAACAAGAGTTGTTGATGGGCCCTTTCACAGTGGTCCAGAGTGAAAGATGGTTGGTGGCTTGAAAGAGGCATGCAGGGGAAGTAGAGAACAGTGAATGGATTCACAAGCTCTTTTTGAACTCTGGAAATTTCTCTTGCTTTCCTGTGAAATCTATATTTTAACTCAATACCTCAATAATAAAGACTACTTAGACCACAAATCCACTAAAAAGTCTTCTTTTATTCAATTAGCTATGTTTTTTTTAAGAAAAATTTAAAATAAATAAGTATACAGGTTATGTGTACCACTATAACAAGAGTCATGAAAATGTTACTCAAATAACATTTAAGAAATACCCCTCTAGAAAATGAACCGTGATGGTAGCTGTATTCATCTGCTGGCACTGCCATGACAAAATACCACACACTTAGTGGCTTAAACAAGCAAACAAAACATTATCTCAGTTCTGGAGTGTGAAGTGTGAGATTCAGATGTTGGCAGTATTGGTTCTGTTACCAAAGTGGTCAAGTGGTCCTAGACTGGGCCAAAATACCCTTTCTTGGCCAGGGAGTTTCTCTTTTTCAACCAGATTCGCAAATAAGGAAACTGCTGCCAAAACTAGGAGGGCACAGCTTTATTCAGTAACCAGGAATCGGGATCCCAGCTCACTGCAAACCAATTTCTCAACCCAGCTCAGGTGGAGACACCAAATACATAGGAGGGTCGAAGTGAAAGAGAGAACTGGAAAAGGAAGGAGGAATATTCATGACAACAGTGACTTACTTGGTGTGGACCTGGGACGCATGCAGCTCTCCTTTTCAGTCCTTGTCTGAGCGCTTCCGGTTGTTGTCATGGCAACCATCAACTGTCCTGGCATTGGTGGGTGTGTCATTCAGCGTGCTAAGGTAATACAATGAGCACGCAATGAGGCTCAAGTTCTTCTGGAAGTCAAATCTTCCTCCATCTTGGGCCTAGTTGGTTCTAACCAGTTCTTATTTTCTCTCTTTGCAGCTTCCTTTTGAAACTAATTTAAGAGTAGTTGGTCTTTATTCAGGAGGGTCAGGAGTCTGATTCTGGGACAATAGTCTGATTACAGTTCCTTCTGATGGCTGGGAGAGCATCTCTTCCATGCCTCTTCTCTAGTTCTGCTGGCAATCTTGGGCATTCTTTGGCCTCTGCTACATCTCCCTGATTTCTGCCTGCATACACATTCTCCCTGTGTGCCTTTGGCCAGATTCCCCCCTTTAGTAGGGACACCAGTCATACTGGATTAGAACCCACCCTACTGCAATATCACCTCATCTTAACTAATTACATCTGCAAACAATGACCTCTTTCCCAATAAAGTCACACTCTGAAATACTAAGGGTTAGGACTTCAGCCTATGAATTTTTGAAGGACATAGTCCAACCATTACCAGTAGTATTTGTGAAGTTCAGATGGGTTAGCCTCCTATTTTATCTTTACCTTGACATAACACTTAAAAAGAATCTCCTAATCTGAATTAGACTCGTTTCTGTTAAAGAGCAAACTCAGATTCCCAAAGACCTTACTAGCTGACGAGGGATGATGGGGTAGGAAGCAAACCTGACACCACATGCACTGCAGCAATATTAAGAATTAGCAACAATATTAAGAATTACAGCAACAACATTAAGAATTAATCTTCCCAAATCACATTCTTCCTTTGAAACAGAACTAAGCAAACCTCTAAATGTCCATTGCAAGCCTGATACAAATTTCAGACTGGTCAAAGAGGTGTAAAACAGACTGAAGAACTGATATAAAACACGCTTTTTTTTAATGTAGTACCATGAATCATTTCTGATGATGGATGAGTAGCTAGTATTAATTCAACTATTTCATAAGAAAAGGTCTAGTCAGTGTAGGAAAATATGAGTTTAGCCCTTATTCAAATTTTATAATTTTGAATTATCACAGAAAATTTGTATTATTTTAATATTCATGGATCTTAAAAGTATAAATAAAATAATTCTATGGCCAAAACAGAAGTTTTTTTTTTTTTTTAACCTTCCCAACAGAGCTCTTAGAAGAGACATATTGTAAACCAAGGTAGGGTACTTTGCTTTGACTGGAAAGTCAATGTCAACTGTTTTTTTATGAATACATTCTGTTCCCCTAAAGTTCTATCTAAATGCAAGTACATGAGGGATCTTTTCAACAAACACATATACGAAGTGATGTCTACCAATTAGAATGGCAGCTTCAATAAAAGTCTGATTTCCTACATTCTCTAGGCAAACATGAAGTGGAGCAAAAGACATATTTTCCTCTTCTTCAGTAGAGTTTTTCTTAAAGACCTTATAGAATTGTAGAATTAATGAACTTGAAGCAATTGTGAGATTATCAAGTCTGGGGAATTTACAGGGATTCTCAGCAAAACCCTCAAAGTTCAACGGTGTTCCAAGCGGTGGAGGCAGCTGGGGGTGGCGTATGGGTAGACTGCTGGGGCATTAGGTATGGAGTCAGGAGGAAGTGATTCTAGCCTTGTCAACCCAACCCCATCCCAACTGGGCCTGGGGCAGTCTACTTTCATCATCTTCATAAAGTACCTATTGTGGCCTTGTTTGCAGAAAGGATTTCACACTTTATAAAATGAGAAAACTGAGACCCAGAGAAGCTGTGACTTATTCTGGCTCCTCTAACCAGTGAGCAGCAGAACTGAGATAGAATCAAAGTTGTCTTCTTTGTCAGCTCACATTAAGCTATGTTTCTCCCCTTCTCACACAAAAGCAGGGAGGGAGACCTGCCAAAGGCCCTTTTAAGGCAAATATGTTGTCTGCCTTGATCAGGTGAGTTTACAACTCAGCCTAAAGGTTCACAAAAATAACCCAAGCCAAAATTGGAGCATTTTTAGCTCAGCCCTCCCTCGCAGCATAGTGAGGATTTTTTAGGATGTAAAATCATAAATCTTATGTATGACCTATTATATTTCAAGTTAATAACAAATCTAAACCTTTATTCCTCATCTGCAATTCTTTTTCTCTCAGTTCAGTGAAGACTGTCTAATTTTTAAAGGCCAGTGAGTGTGGCTGAAGCTGACTGAGCCATAGAAGTATTTCATCAAGTAAAACATCACAAAAGTTTAAATTTCAAAGACAGTAATGCTGCTGCTGCTGAGTCACTTCAGTCGTGTCCGACTCTGTGCGACCCCATAGATGGCAGCCCACCAGGCTCCCCCGTCCCTGGGATTCTCCAGGCAAGAACACTGGAGTGGGTTGCCATTTCCTTCTCCAATGCATGAAAGTGAAAAGTGAAAGTGAAGTTGCTCAGTCATGTCCAACTCTTCGCGACCCCATGGACCACAGCCTACCAGGCTCCTCTGTCCATGGGATTTTCCAGGCGAGAGTACTGGAGTGGGGTGCCATTGCCTTCTCCAAAGACAGTAATAAGCATTTCTATCTGCTGCATGTAAATACTGTAAAGCCAGCCTAAAGCTGCTTCTTAAGTTCAGCATACTTAACAAAGGGGTTATTTTAAATAAATAAAATCCACATATTATATTTTAGAATAAGTAGTTATATTCTTATTTGTGCCCAAGTGGTCCTAGGAATGTCCCTCTGTTCTTTTCCTTTGCATCCTGGCTGGCTGTTTCTACTCAGGGCAGAAATGGTCAAGACTTGGAGAACAGAAGTGGTCAAAGGAAAGAAGGTCCTCTTCCTCTTTGAAAGGGAGAAGAGAAGGATGTTATTAGTAGAAAAGAAAGAGCCTCAGAAACATCAGGAGTTGGAGAAAGAGGAAAGGAGAAAAGAAGATGGGATAGAGGAGGCAGCAGAGAGAAAAAGATACATCTCATTGTAGCTTCTCTTCTCTCAAATTCTTCATTGTCCTGTCATCAGGAGTACATTTAAATTGGCTTAAGTGAAAAAGAGGAATTGATTGGAAGGACAGAAAGCATAGACCACTGGGAGGGACTGGCGTCTAATCGACCACAACTAATTGACAGGCTCCAGGGAAAACTCTCCCTCTGTTTTTATTTTTTTGCTCTTTCTCTCTATCTCGTCTACTTTTTCTCCTCTCCTTCCCCAGCATAATGTATGGTTCCTCATCTCTTCTCTTTCTCTCTGTATGTTTCTCATTCTTCTATGTATGCTGGCTCACTGCTGGTCTATTCCCTTGACATGACTGACCCCCTGTAGCCCCTGGAAATCTCTTCATTTCAAGTAACCAATAGGCATTAACTTCTACACCTGTCCCCATTTGCAAACTCTCAAGTGTCTGGTTTACCTACCCTAGATCAAGTGTCTACCCGTGGTTCCATCAGTTTTCCCGTAATTGCCAAAGTAACTACTCATGTTGGATGTGACAGCAGAGAAAGCAGTCAACCTAATTTATTTCTACACTCCTTTTCAATCTTGTCCTGGGCTCTTCAGCCAGTGTTCGCAGTCTCCTGCCCTTATCACAGGAGTCTTCAACCTCTTATAATAGTGTTTCTCATACTTGTATCAGATTGTTCAGATCACTTGCATCAAAGTGTGTTTATAAAAAAAAAATGCGGATAGTCAGGTCCTTACCTATTCCAGATACCCTATGTGCTAAATACACTTTGAGAACTGGCATGAAAAACTCACTGTTGATAAGTTTCTTTGTATTGGAAAGCATGCTCTGAGTTTCAAATAACCTATAGACAAAATTTTTGTTGAATTTTTCAGTCTCTAAGTCGTGTCCGACTCTCTGCGACCCCATGGACTGCAGCCCTCCAAGCTTCCCTATCCTTTACTCTCTCCCAGCATTTGCTCAAAATCAAGTTGGTGATGCCTTCCAACCATCTAATCCTCTGTTATTCCCTTCTCTTTCTGCCTTCTGTCTTTCCCAGCATCAGGGTCTTTCCAGTGAGTCGGCTCTTCACATCAGGTGGCCAAAGTATTGAAGCTTCAGCTTCAGCATCAGTTCTTCCAGTGAATATTCAGGGAAATTAGCTTCTAGAATAAATATATTTCACATAATAAATTTAAAACACTAGTGATATGTGTTTTAAATATATTGGTACCATATACCAAAGTATACAGTATTTTAAAAGTAAAATCCTTTAATACTTTAAATATTAAAACTTACTACTTTAATATTTCAGATGCTATCATGCAAAAATTAATATGGAGAATTTTCTTCTTTACCATTCTGTTCACCTCATGCATCTGCAAACAGTATAATTCTATAAGGAACCTAGGAAATGCGCACTGGTTTAATCACTTTCCTGCCTCTTCCCCATCCATCTTTATGACTCTCTAATTTTGAGAGGTCTCTTCTAGATACTAGCTAATCTATATACTTTTAACATCCCTGTCTCATTACAACTATGCACCAGATCTTATCATCAAAAGCCACTGTTCCCCTGTGAATGTCATCCACAGCAGAACTCAGGCTAACCCTCCTTATCAGCAGATTGATCATTAATACCCATTCTTCCCTGACAAGATACTCTCCCTCAAGATTCTTCTGAGTTTGTGCTTCTCAAATTTGAATACATATAACCCTGGGGATACATAGTTTCAGATTAGAAGCCACAAGTTAATGGTGCTGTTTCTTACTGGGACATTTAACTAAAGATTTAATAACTTATCTGGAAAGCAACCTTCATTTATTTTTGTCTTAAACATGAATAGGTTACTCTTTGCGACCGCATGGACTTACAGAGTCTATGGAATTCTCTAGGCCAGAATACTGGAGTGAGTAGCCTTTCCCTTCTCCAGGGCATCTTCCCAACCCAGGGATCGAACCTAGGTTAAAGACAAGGATACACATTTCATATTTAACTTTAAGAAAAATGATGAGCCTTCAAAAAAAATGTGAGCTATGTTTTCCACGTTCCCAACCTCAGGCACATATTAAATTCATAATATGTTATGGATTTAGCTGATCTTCATGAAACATGCATTCAACAGCTATGAAAATAACAGCTTAAGTAATGAGAAAGTTTTAAAAAGCAGATCGGGTCTAGCTGTCATCTCCCTTCTCTAATTCTATCTGAGGCCCAAGGGTCTCTGGTTTTCAAGGGGCTAGGAGGGACCCAGGAGAAAGCAATTTCATTTTCAAGCAAGTGTATCTTTCAGCTGATCTTCAACAAAGTAAATATCCTCTGGAGCTGGTTTCATAATAGGTTCCTCTTATGAAGACTGGCTCTAACCAGTTCTTGGGAAATGTGCTTACAGACACGGATTGCCCAACTGATCTCAGTAGACAAGAAAAAACACAGGGCAGAAGAGGTCATGCCAATGAATGCACGCCCTACACACATCTTTATGGACAAACTAATCCACCCCACAATGCCATGTACTTGCCTATTATTAGGATTTGGATAATACCCACTAAAAGAGTTCAAGGTATTCTTCATAAAAAGTAGAAGTAAACAATGTTGTTCATTCTTTTCCTGCTAGCAGAGTGAAAATTACCCCCCATGGGGTAATCTGTACCACCATACAGATAGCTAGAGTACACAGCTGCCCACACAGTCTTTGAGAGGAGCCATAAGGTCTGACCTGTTGGAAAATAGTTTCCCCTTTGATTTCTCAGAATATAGCCTTCTTCATATTCCTGGCCTCCATTCCCACCATTAATCACCAATAAATTAGACTCTAAGTAGAAGTGTTATCTCCATGAGGTCACTGTGAAAATGTATAATTAAATGAGCTGGGAGGGGTGTTGGTTTTTTTCCCATTTATACAATAAAATACATTACTCACTGACATGGGTTAATTTACCTGCATTAATTGTCGGCTTGGGAAACAAATATTAAGATTCTGATGACATACGACATAAAGTGGTAAGTTTCTAGTGAAGGTTGAGGCACGAATTTCACGGGCTATTGCCAGGCGTTAGAACTCCGGTTGGAGCCCAGCAGAGGGCGCCCCAGGAAATCAGGAAGAGCCTAGACACAGTAGTGGAGACAGATTCTCTGAGCCTAACCATTTCCTCCGTTTTAATTTTTGCTCAACCAGCCCTGATCACTGCAAAACAACCTGGTTGAGTGGTAGTGAGTAGAGTGATCAGGGGGCAGCCAATTACTTCTGAATTCTGTAAAAGGCTAAAGTGAAAGTGTTAGTCCTTCCGTCGTGTCTGACTCTTTGGGACCCCAAGGACTGTAGCCCACCAGGCTCCTCTGTCCATAGAATCCTCCAGGCAAGAGTACTGGAGGGGTTTGCCGTTTCCTTCTCC